GTATTTTCATTAATTTTCTCGATCTTTACAAGCTCACGGCAGTACTTCCAATTCCCAATTCCCTTAAATATGTAAATATTATCTCGTATACTGCCTTCCGTAGGCAAATGCAGCTCAAATTGTTTCATCTCGCTTGGACGGGGATAATCATTGTCGGAATTGTCCCACAAACTTATGTAAAATGCTTCGAATTTCTCTCGAGATTCGCTATCTAAGATTCCCGTGAATATCCAATTTGTAGCCATAACGGCTGCTGCTTGCGACCATATTTCAATATGAACTTTCGTATTCTTATCTTTCTCAGTTTTCTGCACATTTTGCTCAATCGCCTCAGTCACGTACATTTTAAATAAGCTAAGGGTTGACATAACGAGCTGCGTGTCTGTTAATGAGACGCTCACTCTACAGTACTTATGAATAAATTTAAGACATGGATCTATAGACCAATCGAACAATCGATAAACCAAGTTCTCGTATCCTTTGAGCTGATTAATATGATTGCCGATATATGCCAGTAGCAGCGGTCGCCAGTTTATTGTTTGCGTGTCGATGTGTAGAATTCCGCATCGGGATATTATTGAAGGTGATGCGTCATGTAAATTCGATGTTTCAAAGAATATTTGTATCTCCGGAGTCAATAGTATTCGTTCGTTCGACGTTAACATTAATGTTTTGCTATCTTCGAGTGCCGTTTCCAATTGTTCTATCCACGACGAGCGTATATTGCCATCGAATATCAGCCATTTTTCTTTCGAGCTCTTATCTTCTGTAAAACGTCGAATTATATCGGAACATACGCCATCGTTCCACTTTGCTGTCGACGTATCGACAAAGCCGTATAATCTGTCGATAGTCAAGGCCCCGGGACTAATAATCTCGTGTATTATACTAAAACTTTCATCCTGATTGTCATTCTCTTGTAGGAGTAATAAAGCTTCCCTAAGGATATTCAATACTGTTGATTTTCCGCTAAAAGCCTCTCCTACGATAATTATCGCCATCCTCAAACGTATCATTTCATAAAGTTGTACGATCCTTAAACATAAATTATCGTAATTACATAATTGCTTCTTTTTACAAATTTCGCCCACGGCTTTCGACAAAATTGCGTAATTAGAGGAGGTTGGTGGTATCGCGCTTTGAAAGCATTTGCTTAAAATACTTTGAAATATAACAATGTCGTTTCCATCGAATTGTGACGTATTTAAATCAAGTAAGGAGCGAAGAAGCAAAGCTCCCTCATCTTCATCCGGATAGGTGAGCTTCAGTTTCGAAGCTGCTCTAATTACGGCTTTAACGTTTCTTAATTTTAAATTGTACTTTTTATCGGAAGACATTTGTTCGTTGCAGAGGCTGTAGACTTCCGTTAACGAGTTTGCCAAATTCTTCGCGTCGACGAATCCTGCTGCGAACAGTTCAACTTGACAAATTTTCTCTAAATCTGGATTCACTAAGCACACCGTTCTAAAATGTAGTCTCAAATTATCCGGCAAGTTCGACAAGTTGGGTAACGACGGGTTGAAGCTGAAGCTAATGTAGCAGTTAGGATTGAAGCTAAGCTGAGTCCCGTGAATATTTATAATATTAGAATTCATGCTCTTTGATTGGGAGATGCGAAAGATGTATTGTGCGATAACAGAGAGAATTTCCTCTTTTATTCTTCTAAAATTTTTAAAGTAAACCCATGCTTCCATTGTCACTAAGCCCTTGAATATCTTACCAATGCTGTTATAATCTTGTCTATCTTCTCCGCTAAACATGAAGAAAGGTACGGCTAACGTTCTTGACAAATTTTTCATTGTTTCAGTTTTTCCGACAGACGAGAAGCCAACGATTGCCCCGAAGTAATTCTGATAATACGCCTCCATCAAGTTTCTATAGCATCGTTCGGTCAATGGCGTATTAACTATTATTCGCTGGCTGCTGCTATGATATTCGTATGCATATTTAATGCAGGTATTGATAATAATGACCTTAACTCGCTCCTCTTGATAATAATAACGAATTTGACATTTCCAGTCGAAGTCGGTGTCCTCGTGTATCTTCTTTTCAATCAGTAAATTCGTCACATCTTCTTGATGAATGAGGAGCACTATCAATGACGCTACAATTTCTCGATCCTTTCTAATTAAGCTGAGCTTTAAGAATCGTTGCAAATTTTCCCTTTGCCCTTTCAGCCTGTCACGACAAATTTTCAGCGATTCTAAATTATTAAACAAAAAAGCGCTGTGGATTTGAGAGGTCCAAATAATTTGCTGAACACAGAGAATCACCATACTAGGTGTGTTTGCAATCCATTTGAGAGATATTTCATTAGAGTCGAATGTCCTTAGATTATCATCGATCCTGCCTTTTATTATATTTGCAATCTCATTATTTAAACATATTAGCCAATCCGTGACAGAGTTAGTTTTCGGTAAAATGGAAATTATTTTCTCTAATTTTATTTCCTCACCACCGTCGCCGATTATCGAAAGAATATTAAATTCTTCATCTGTTTTTAGATTGTTTATATTAGGAAAGACTTTCTTTATGTAATGTGCGTTCTCTATCCGAGTTTCTTCATGTTCAAATACAAGTTTCATAATTTCGTTCTCCGATAGGAAGAACAATCGTGTGAAGGAAAGCCTCAGTTCCTCGAAATAATCATAAACTTTTGTATATATTAGCTCTAGGGCGTATTTTCCTTGTTTTAGCTTATCTAAAATATTTGTCGTTTCGGTTATGTAATGGAAAGTTGGGGTCGACGAAAGAGAGTTTTGTATTGATTGTAAAATTGTCATTAGCGATTTATATAAATCAACCTCGGTCTGAAGATGATTTTCTACAATTTCATTGGAAAATAACGAACTCAGATACTTACATTGCTCTTGTACACAATTCCAGTATTCGATAAAATCACGAATTAAACAAAGTTTTTGAAAAAACTCGATCACTTTCGTCTCGATAGGCACAATGAAATGCGAAGATAACATTTTCTTAATCATCACAAATTGTTCTTCAAGAAGAATATCAATTTTGTCTATTTCGCCTATAATTGGTAATTTCGACGTTTCATCGATCGATATTGAAAAATTTATTAAATGCCATTCTTCGATCAATGCATTTAATGTTTGTCGAAGAGCTAACTCCTTGCTCGCTCCAATGCTAATTGTTTCGTATTTTTCCAAGTCTTGTAATAAATTTAAGTTAATTATTTTCTTTAAAGTCGTCCCAGCATTAGGTAACAAATTTATCCCAGCAATAGTTGACATTTCATTCCAATGTCGCTTTTCCAATGCGGGATTACACATGCAAATAGCTAGTGGAACGTAATTTTTAAATGTGCTTAAGTCTTGTAGAGTTTGCCAGCAGAGTTTTAATGGCGCGGGTTGTTGCAGAGGATCCGGATCATCAACAATTCCCGAAAATTTGAATGGTTTATTCGTTGTAAGATCCGACCTTGCTTTCACTTTAAACATTTTATGCATTTCTGTAATTTTTTCCAAATAATACATTGTTTTCTTATCTATAATTTCAGCGTCTAAATATTCAAACGGTCCAACCATCCATACTTCATTCTCCCTTTGCCATTGGCAAATAATATGTACGAGTGAGCAAAATGCGTTCAGTGTCTCTTTAATCTCTTCCACTTTGGGAAATGTTGTTTCTGGAAATTTAAAGAGTCTTTCCTCGACGTTTATTCGCTCAATTTGATTGTCCATTTGATTAATTTTATTGTGAATTGCGACGAGAAATTCTCTGTACGCGTTAACACTTTTTACATCATCCATATCATTAATAATGACCAGCTCATGAATAATATTATCTATTCGAGCACTTAATAAATTAATTTTTCTTTGTAATTCATCCTCTAATTCCCCTTTTTTTGCTTCACAGAATATATTATGCTGGCTAAATACTGGCTTTATTAGCTCCAACCAGTTAATCGTAACCTTATTCAGCTCCATGTGCTCGTTGGATAGTACAGCTGTTTGCAGTAAGGAACTCAGCATGTTGACGGATCTTTGAATCTTGATCTCTAATTCTTTAACCAGAACCTTTGAGGCGTAAGACACATAATCGGTGAGCTCAAACAAAGACTTTGTATCGTCTGGAATTGTAAGAGCTCGGCTTTCAAGATTTTCAAATTCCATGCAGATCGAACGATTCAGTTCTTGGTGATTCCTTATAAGTTCTTCTATCAATTTATTTAATATATCAGAAGTATTTTGTTTTAAATCATTTTTTCCAGACATCTGATTCAATATCCCAAAATTATAATAGACTTTCGCTTCCATAGCATTGATTTCTGTCAAGTAGGCATTAAATTTATTAACCTCAGAATAGTACACATCAAAATTATTTCTTTTATTTATTAATCTAACTATTTGCTTTTTAGTCCTGTCCGAGCAAAGTGTACTAAAACGCACACTAACGAAATTATAATGTTCTGATAATGATTTAAAATTATCTCTGAGCACTTGCTGCAAATCGTCGTGCGCCTTATTCAAAAACCATTCTGGTAAACGCACTTTAATGTATTTCGCTTCCTCGCTCATCTTTAACCATTCCCCAAAAGGGACAAGATCTTGTGCTATATCTGTTATATTATCGATGATCCGATGACATTCAGCCTGAATATTCTCGATACTTGGTTCTACTTCAAGCTTATCGTTTCTACAAAGTAATTGCAATTTCAATTGGACGCAAGGTTTTGAACTTTTCATAGACTCAATGAAACTATCAATACTGTTAATTATACTGTTTATAATTTGCTGCACCATAAAGCTTTCCGCAGAGTGCAACAATTTTGGCAGTCTTTTGTCATTTTTTAAATAATTCATTCGAAGCATGCATCTAACAATCTCGTTGTAGCATTGATTTTGTACTATCATAGCACAGCGCTGTAAATCATTATTTATCATTTCACTTAATTTGGATATATGTAGTTGTTCATCAAGCGACTTATATTGCTCAAAATTAATGAAAATCTTGGGAAGATTATCATACATAATATTGGAAATAGTTCTAATTAATCGATGAGATAGGAAATACTTTTTAAGTATAAGCTCGCGATTACTATTAAACGACGAATTGAAAATATTATCATTTGCTTTTCTACATTTAGAATCTTCCGAGTGTTCTAGATACAAATTTGTTTCCATCGCATTTGTAATACAGTTTGCATTGAAATTTTCCATTTCTTTGATATAATTTTGTTTAATTTCCTTCATTATCGACATGAGAAATAATATATATTTTCTTTTAGATGTTTTGGGGATTAATTTTAAAATGTTTTCTTCCCACTCTGGTGAAAGGCCTTGAACTGGAATGGTCTTTGCCAATTTAATGAGCTCTTCGGTGTAGAATGTTTTTGAAATGCGATGAACGCTACTTCTCCATTTATCTGATAATTTTGTTTGTGGTGGTTTGGGTCTTACAAATTTCATTGCTTGATTACGAAATTTTTTAAGTGGATCCCTCTCTAATTTTATATTATTCAAATGATCGATTTGAGGCACAGGAGTTAAACGAGGCACTTTGGTCTTATCGTTAATCAATTTATAAAATTCTTGTTTCTCTGCCATTATTCTAACTACTTATAAATTTCTTTTCTAATAATGAACTGTACAATGTTAAAAAGTTCAGAAGTAGAATAAACACTTATTAAGTTTTCTCAGTATCCAAGGAAACAGGTAAATTGCCCATTTATAATAGTGCGTACCGTTTATATAGGTATTAAGCATGGATGTGTAGAGTATTATGAAAAGTATATTTTATGTTACAGATTGTTCAGCTATTGACGGTTAAAATTTCAAGTGTCGCAAATAATATAAGAATTGCATTTTAAAAACCAATTTTTATTTAAAATAAAAATAAATAAATTTGAAATTAAAAAATTTAAGATTATAAATAAGGGAAATTTTGTTATTTTCATTGTTATAGAAATAAAAGAAAATGAGTAACATTTATATACTCGAGCCACCTACCACTGGAAAGGTATGTAATAATTCATATTTTGTAAAATATTTGGTACATTTTTTAAAAATCACTTCTGATTTGAATTTGATGTAATTTATTCTAACCTATGTATAACCTTATCAACGCAGGTCGTTATGAAAACAACTATCGGAGACATAGACTTAGAATTGTGGACAAAAGAAGCTCCAAAAGCATGTAGAAATTTCATACAATTATGCATGGAAGGATATTATGATAATACAATATTTCATCGAGTGGTTAAGGGATTTATTGTTCAAGGAGGAGATCCAACGGGTACGGGAGAAGGTGGTGAAAGTATCTATGGAGAACACTTTAAAGTGAGTTTAAATTGTAGACTAATGCTCGTAACCAACTATTTATACAAATAAATAAGTCGTAGTTATTAATATATTCTAGGATGAGTTTCACACAAGATTACGATTTTGCCGAAGAGGTCTATTGGCTATGGCAAATTCTGGCAAAGACGATAATGGATCTCAATTTTTTTTCACGCTTGCCGCTGCACCAGAATTGCAAAACAAGCACACAATATTTGGAAAGGTCACGGGTGAAACTGTGTTCAATATGATAAAGCTTGAGGATGCTCTTGTCGACGAAGTATAATATTTACATTCAAAGTATAATTTTGTCGACTACTTTCATCAATTGTCTCAAATATTTCAGAACGACAGGCCAATCTATCCTCAAAAAATACTAAAAACAGAAATTCTAAGCAATCCCTTTGATGATATTGTAGCCAGAGTTCTTAAAGCGAATGTTGTAGAAGAAAAGACAAGGAAAAAGCAAAGAAAAGGTGTAAAGTATGTAATAACAGTATGAGATGTAGAAAATTTAATTAAAACATTTACAGGGTAGAAAAATCAGGAGTTTATAAATCTATATTTTACAGAGATTTTAAATTATTATCATTTGGAGAGGAAGCTGAAGAAGATGAAGAAGAGTCTGTTGTTTTAAGTAAGCAATTGGGTGGCAAAAGTAAATCGGCCCACGACAATTTATCAGATCCGAAATTAAGTTCCGAGCCTGTGTTTACAACTGATAGCCCACCGAATAAAAAAATGAGAGAAAATAATAGTGATTCGGAGAGTGATAGGGATTCAATGCTTATAGAAGAAGAAGAAGAAGAAGAAGAAGAAGAAGAAGAAGAAGCCTCAGAAGATAAAGAAAAGCAGTTATATATAAATAAATTTATTAATTCTGTATAAAAGTAAATTTTATCACATATTAGAATCTAATAACTTATTAAAGAATTATTATCTTGTTACAGCGAAATGGCAGAAAGAGTAAAAAATAAATTAAAAGAATCCAAGAATTTGATTTTAAAAAAAAAACTAGATAATACGGTTAATAATAAAGAAAAGAATGATTCGGAAGAGGAGTACTATCTTGGAAAGGATAGAAAAGATGAGAGAAAGAGACAAACGTATGTGCTAATTATATTTATATTGTCTCATCTATTAGAAATTATATTTTATTTTTAATTTAATTAAAGATATGTGTATATACGTATTTATGTATTTATGTATGTGTTACAGGGAAGAAATCAAAAAGGAAATTCGTGATTTTAAACGTGAAATAAGAAAAGAACAAAATAAAAAGTTGGACGAAGAAAAGCAGAAGATCGAAGAGAAAAAAATATCCGAAGTTATTAAACAATATCATGAAACGCAAGAAAAATATAAAAAAGAAACGTCCAAATTTCCTAAAAAAGGTAAACGTAACGATAACGATAGCCGTTAAAAATATATTTTACGATATATATATATATATATATAAAATCACAGTTTTATCAATGTGTAGGTTCCTCGCGAGAAGATTTTACACTTCAGTTGCTCAATAAATTTAAGAATAAAGTAAACAGTGCCAGAGAACAACATTTGGATAGCGAATGTTCGACGTCGGGCAATAAAAACGATGAAGAAAAGGATGATGATGTTGATGATCCAAATGATGAATCTTGGATGACTCATGCTTTACGATGCGAAGACAAAGCACCAGTTTTAGCCAAAGACGCCAGTACAAAGGGTGACGATTGGTTTGAAATTTACGATCCTAGAAATCCATTGAACAAACGAAGACGCGGTGAAACATCGGATAAATCGAAAATCGAAGGACAGAATAAAAGTAGGAGATGAGCTTCCTAATGAATATGAAAAAGTCTGAAAAACAACATAATTTTCAGTATAACAATCAATTCTACATAATCAATAAAATGTAAATTAAATCTATGAATATGTCAGTGCGATAATTACATGTACAAAATAATTATAATTATTTTTAAACAATATTGTCTAAAATATTTATTTAAAAATTGTTATTAAGTTTGTCTTCGCTAAAACGAGGTGGTAAAATTTGTGCCAATTTGTTATTTATATTAAATTGGTTTTTACCTTTTATTTATTTATTTATTTATTTATTTATTTATTATTATTTTTTTTTTAAATCTTAATCATCATCTAAAATCATTAATTTTAAAAGCGTATATTAGTATGTGTAATGTTCGTTTCCTTTGAATTTGATAAACACCGGCGATGAATGAATAATAATGCCCAATAAAGCTGAGAAAATTAAATTTTCGCCGAACCGTCGTCAATGTCGCAGTATATTCTTCTTATTTTGTCTCTTTCTTCTTACCTTGGCTTATCGGCTTTAACAATTGCCATACAAAAACAAATACAATGTAGCAAAATGACAAGTCATTGAATGTGCATGTAAAAAATCTTCGTCATTCTTGACAGAGAGAAAAAACAATTGTAGTGTTTTTACAACTAAAGAAGGAGGGAAAGATAAGCCGTAGTATGTAATTGCGTCCAGTGGTTGAAAGTGAGTCAGTCGGTAGGTGACGATCGCCGAGATACGGGGAGTAACACCAAGAGCTTAAGGCTAATAGAGCGATATATCAGAGAAAGTTAAATCTTCGTAGTATTTTCGCACGGGAAATATCGTACGTTTGAAGATATTTTTTTTTTTTTATGACCAAGTGTCGCAAGCGCTCGGTAAACTTAATAAATTTTAAATACTTATAAGCTATATGTACGGAAGGCCGTTTGAGTACAGTGAAATTAGTTTTTGGCGCGAGCTCTGAAAGCACAAACTAAGGCAGAGCTTGAGCATTTTTGTTGATCTAAGACATAGTAAAGGACGATGATTTGAGCTGCATAATATTCATAGGTTATTGATAGCCTTATTATTTTTGTTATTGCTGCTATTATTGTTCAAACTTTGTCGTTCGTATGATGAAGACAGATGATTGCGAAAGCGCCGTTGCTCTATCGAAAGTGCCTTTGAGAGCAGATTCCTTTGGTGAGTTTGATTTTTTTTTTTTTGTTTTTTTTTTTGTTTTGTTCATTTAAATTCTGCTACGTCATTATCCAATAGGTAATAAAAAAGGAAAATAATATCGGCATGAGAATAATACGGAGAAGAGTGTTCACGAATACGTGATCAAAATATTTTTTTGAATGATTTTTTTATGGAATATTATTTTCTTATTGGCTTTGACAAAAATGTCTGTTATGTTTTAAACAGGAAATTATATGTATGTATGTATATATATATATATATATATATATATATATATAAATATCCATTTTTTTTATATACGTGTGTATCAGTTATAATACTTCAATAAATCTTATCTTAATGCTTACTTTAAGTGACCGAACATTAATTTTATGTGTGTACATGCCTAACAATTCTTTCGCATCTTCTTTAATTTAATACTTCAAATGTATTTATTACTAGCTACATTGTATTATTAAATTTTTTTTCGAGTTTAAATTGTTAATTATAAATTATAAATAATTTTCAAGAATAGTTTCATAAAAAGTTTCATAAGGTTTCAAGTTTTTTTTTTTACCAATTGCAACTAACCAAAGTTTTATACATTTTAATGCCTTACAGCGCTATGATTCATAACAATTCAATGAAATAAATAAGCTGATAATATATATATATATATATATATATATATATAAGACGTAGTATGAAGTATATTTTTAAATATTAAACGCATACGTATTAATTATTAGTTATTAATGTTATGAATATAAAAGTAATGATGATATAAATTGTTGAGATTCTTCAAAACCAGTTGGTCAATTAAGCCAAAAATTAAGTAACCAAAGGCCATATATTTAAAATATTTCATTTTTAACTGTGACAATATATATTTGGTAATGTTTACCATTAATATATTTATGAACAAATACAATAGATGTGAAGGAGATTTATCAAATTATAATGTACAATGATACATAGTATTCGAAATTTTTATACGAATGTTATATATTATGTTGTTGATTTATATTAATAATATTTAAATTCCACTTAGAATTTAGTAAAAATCGTCCATAAAATAAAAAGATATCATTGTAATCATGATGACGAGTACGTGTAAAAAAGATGTAAAAGACCATGAAACAATGTTTTCATTTATGAAAATTAACATCTTCCTAATTATGATTAATAATACTTTTGTGAATTATAATTTATATATTACATTTTATTATATCAATAATAACGTACTATTGTATCAATAACAATATACGTTTTTTTTTTATTCATTATGATATTAGTTAAATTTTATCTAAAATCGAAGAAACTTAACAAAAAAATTATATATATAGAAATAACATAAAAAGACTTGAATTAGCTTTATATCAGCGAGTTTCAAACCAAATCTAAAGTAGTAAATAAATCTGACATATTTGTTTAATTAATTTTTGTAATATTCATATTCCAATATTAATGTTTCTCGGCTCGATATATAATATATTTAAATATTTTTTTCAAACATTTTCTATTGATTATTTAATTGATTTTTTAATCTTACAATATAATGTATGTATAATGTAAATTTTTGTAATCTTAAATGTAATACGATCATAAATACGAATCTTATCTATACAAATCAGTATACATATATATATATATATAGTATAGATTTAAAATAATTCGGTGAAAAAAAAATTTTTTTTTAAATAATTTTTTTCATTAATATTATACAAAATAACCAAAAATAATTATATATGCCGCTATCCCATCTATTTCAGAAGTTAAATTTTAATATATTAAAGACATTACCTTATCAAATGCAAGTGAATTGTTTTTATAACATTTAACACTCTT